AAAAAAATTTATCATTTGATGTAGTCGGGGTTATCTTTAAATCAAATGTACAAGAAGAAAAATCTTAATAAATAATCCCTTAATTGGGGTGGCTAGAAAAAAGAAGGGAATGAACAAATCCAATAGCCATGATCAAGAGGAGCGACAGACGAAGTCAGCTTGCAATAACAAGTTCAAAGAAAAGATCGATGATCTATGTACCACAACAATCAAGAAAGATAAGAAGAGGATAACCCCCCCCCGCCCCCCAATATCGAAATGATTCAGCAAGAAGGGAAACGCTCTACACTAGCATAGAGATTCATCGCTTCATGTTCTAGTATTGATTACATGAAGTTGCGGCAACTTTTGAAACTTCATGTTTGGATTTACTTTAAGTCTATTGCTTTGGATCTTCAGATCTTTTGTAATGTTTGATTTGTATGCCTGCGAATGACCGGAGTAGCTGATCAATATACTTATTTACCTAATAAAAAAAACGTTTAAGTTATGAAATAAAAAATAAACTTCTTTAGCTCATATTTGGTTCGGCTAAAAAGTTAGATTAAAACTTAACTGCACATTTAATTGAATTCACAATTTTTTCAATCACACATTATACCAAATTTATCAAAATATATTAAAAATCTGATTTTTATCTAAACCAAAGAGACGCTTATTACATTCAATTTACCTCGTTTTGTACAATATTTTATCCTTGAATTTTTTAAATTCATATTTTAAGTATAAGTAGAGAATATGATCTTGAATTGAGTAGCTCTAGAAGACAATTTGCATAATCAAATTGTAAGATGTTGAATGAAATGTTCCTCATTTGAGCAAATTCCTCTAACTGAAATGTCAAATGAGTCATTTTCTATGGATTCATTCAGTTCTGATTATCAGATTGATAAAAAAATCCAGCATCAGCAGTTCGCAGATTTTGGAAGCTTAGACGATTTGTATCTCGACGTTGTTTCTCCCCCATTTCAATCATTCCGCGATGAGATTACATATCTTGGTGATATTGCATCTCAAGATTCAGATCTTATCGAATCTAACAAGAAAAATCCTCGTGTTTTCCCTTCAGCCTCGCTTGAGATTCTGAAGAAATACGGAAGCAGGCTCAGAAGATTGAAAAGTGACGAGATAAATGTCCAACGCTCTAGGATTAGCAGCCAAAAACTGTCAACCGAAACAATTATTCGGTTGGCAGCAGAAGAATTCATACAGTCGACTCAAAGAAGTTCTAAATTACGCGTGCTTAGTCATCCTTATCCAAGTGCATTTTTGGACCAATCCGGTGAAGATTATAGAGCAGTCGGACTTGTACAGAATCTGTTATCTTGCGTGGAGAATGTAAGCCAGAAGCAGTATGAACGCGCGAGCAGGATTCTGCTCCAGTGTGACAAAATGAGTTCTAATACAGGGAATCCTGTTCAGAGATTAACATTCTATTTCGTTGAGGCTCTTTACGAGAAGATTGATAGAGAAACAGGGAAATCTACACCGAAGGGGTTAGGGAAAACGCCTGTAGATCTTCGAGAGGCGTCTAAAAGCCCGAAGTGTACTCAAATTGCGTGTCACAAGGAGCTACCTCTCTCTCAGATCACCAAATTCGCAGGAATTCAGGCTATAGTCGAACATGTAGGAGAGTCGAGAAAGATACACATAATTGACTTCAAGATCGGAAAAGGAATACACTCAATAATTTTAATGCAAGCTCTTGTAGCACGACAAAAAAATCCCCTCGAGCATCTTAGAATTACGGCTGTGGGAACGAATTCAAGACCAACGATAGAGGAAACCGGTAGACATTTGAGTAGTTTTGCTCAATCCTTAAACTTGCATTTCTCGTTTAATGCACTTCTAGTAGATGATATCCTAGATCTTAACGAAGAGCTCTTTGATTTGGACGAGGGTGAAACAGTTGCTGTCTATGCTGCCTATTCTTTAATGAATTGGATTGCACGGCCAGATTGTCTGGAGAAGTTGATGGGATTGATCAGAGCCCTCAATCCTTGTGTTATGATTGTTAGTGAAGTCGAGGCAAATTGTAACTCCCCGATTTTCGTGGATCGTTTTGTTGAAGCTCTCTTTTTCTACGGTGCATTTTTTGATTCATTGGCAGATTGTCTGAAGGATGATGAAGAAAACAGAAGGGCTGCTGAATCAACGAGTTTTAGCTCGGCAATAAGAAACATTGTGGCTACGGAGGGGGATGAAAGGAAGATCAGACACATGAGTATCGATGTCTGGAGGGCTTACTTTTTGCGCTTTGGATTCTTCGAGGTAGAACTGAGCATGTCATCTCTATGTCAAGCGAATCTCCTGCTCAAGAATTTCCC